TTTCGTATAGTTCATATTACTGAGTGCCAAGATGCTTCAATTTTCATTATCAGCTCATTCTCAAAGGCTTGATCCCATCTTTTGGAAGTAATTTGCAGTGGGGGCTGAATATGGTATGCTCTCTGACAGATAGTAAGTCCTCTCAAACAAAGAACTATCATGATCTTGTCGAGTGGGAAAAAGAATGAAGATATAGCTTTGCTGATTGATGAAACTAGATAAATTGAAGAAACCTTTTGAAATTGATGAAAACTTAGACAAATGATCACTAAGCTTTGGACTTGATGAAAACTAGACATGCTTAAGATATCAGATAATTTGATAAGTAATTTTGGTTAAGCATTGTGCGTGATTAAATGATATTATGATAGGATCAAGTGGAATATATTATTTGCTTACACTTGAAGAACTTTATGAAATAGTGCTTTTGTTATTTCATATCAAACGCATCACTCACTGTGATTTGTGTCTTCTTCTTATCAGATTATACCCAATCAATATTAAAATAACAATAATGCCATAATGTAACTATGCTCACCTTTTCTATTACCGGTCGCGTTCAGAGGAAAACACAAAACATAACACATAGCCTAATGTTGTTTTTCTTTATATTTTAGATATTTCATAATACAAACTATTCAATAATGAATTTAATGATTTAAATCATCAAAATTTCAAACCATCAAAGGAGAATTGGAACGAGTTAGGATTAGAAGGCTTCATCTTCATCAAAAGCATTAGGATTTAGAAGCTAGCAGACGGCGTTGGAGGTGGAGACAGAGGTTGGTTTTTTTCCATCAGCAAGAAGAGATATGAGAGTGAGAAGTTAACAAAGAGCAGTATTCGTCGTCAACGGAAATAGAGGACGAGTAGAGCCTTGTCATTGGCAAGAGGCTTCGTTGCTTTGTCGAGAGCCGAGAGAAAGATGAGATCGCAGGGTTTCTTCGTCGGGAAGGACGGAGAAATTAGGTGGAGAGAAGGAGGATGCAGGAGGCGCTGGAGGATGGGCGTCAGCGGGATGCTAGGTTTTTAACGCCAAATGAAATTGCGGCGTTTTGGGGGCATTATAACGAAACTTAATACGGAGTTAGTGTAATACTGATTTGGCAAATGGAGATATCCATGCATCCAAATCTGATCATCAATTTAACTCAAAAACAAGTTTAAATAAAATAACGCTTAAACGTAACGCAGATGACAACCACATTTGTTTGATGTTATTTTTTCGTGCTTAAATGCCAACATGAATTCTCTGCCCTAAGTTTACAAGGACTTTGGCTCTGTTACGTATAAAATGGTTGCAACACAGACATGTTTTCCAACATTGTACCTAACGGTATTCGTTAGGATCATTTGATCCAAGCATTAAAAACCCAAAGATGAGATTCATTTATTAACATTTAAATTTTAACAGTTAGGCTGCCCAGGAAGTTGGTGCGTGAAGGTTCTAAATAACTACCCCATCTCCTTCCTCTTCATATCCACTAGCCATTCTTGATCTTATACATATTAGCCCTCATCTCACAAGTCCGTCTCACTAAAATCCCAATCTTTTAAAATCTATGTTTGGATACTAGACCGTAGCTTTGTACAGTCAGACGCAGCTTTCTTGTAACCATTCTCCTCGCTCAACACACAGAATCTTGTAATTCATTGTTCCATTAAAGAATTCCAATATCTTAGTTTCAAAAACAGGCCTTAGTATACAACATTTACCGCAACCAAACTGGTTGTAACAGGCGGCACTACATACTGCCGAGATATGATTTTATCGAAAAAAAAAAATTTACATTTAAACAAAAAAAAAAAAGAAAGCCGTGAACAAGAAAAATCATAACAGCGAGAGCTTACCTTCCAGCCAGCTTCGCCGCCGCACACAGCGGCCAGGTGAAAAAGATCTCCTGGCGACCGGCGAAACCCACCAGCCCAATGTACGCTCCGCGTACCCCGGTTCACCGCGCAGCCTTCAGGTCCTCAGAATCGAAACGCCTCCCGCCATTGCCTGGCCCTCGCCGCTCCTCGGCCACCGGGCACTGCGGGGACCCAGCGTTCTGACCTGTATCCTCCCGATCTCCACCCCCTCCTTCCTGAGGAGCTCGCAGAGCTTGGGCGTGGAGGCCGAGGAGGCGGCGGGGGGTTGGGAGCCCAGGTAAGAGGGCGGCAGGCAGGAGGAGGCGGAGAGAGACCCATGGAGGAGAGGGCATGGGAGGGGGTCGGAGCGGGAGGCGATGGGAGCGGAGGTAGGGTGAGGAGCTTGGTGGCGGTGCCAGGGAGGGGTGAGGAGAGGAGGGTTTATTGGGGCCGGGCCGAGATCTTTATGAGGCGGCTTGCTTGATTTGGCGGCGGGCGCAGGACGTTCCACGGCTGAGGACCTGGTTCTCGAGGGCCGGGTCGAAGTAGAGCTCGATCGCGTAGCCGGCGAGTTGATTAGGGTTCGGGTTATTAGGGTTTGGATCTGGAGGAGGAGGAGGGGGAGGAGGTGGGGAGTTCGGGGACTGTGACATGGGGCTGCTTCAGATTTTCGTCGGGGATGAAGGGGGGAGAGAAGAGAGGAGAATTTTGGGGGAATTGCGCTGCAAAAATTTGGGTCGTTGTAAGAAGTCAGCTAAAAAAGACTTGTGGAGGGGTCCCGCGTGGGAGCTGGTTATCTCGGGGGGTGTGAAGTGGGGCCCACGTGTCCACTGTTCATGTGAGTGAGTTCTGGAGTTGGAGAGCGCTGTGGGGGGTGACTTTCAATCTGCCGCCCAATGCTGAGACGTCTTTTTACCTACCATTTTTTATTCCGGAAGCCCCCTGAGTTCGGGCTCGTTGCACTGAGACCCCTGACCCTTCTTATTCCAGCTAACGCCTCCGAACATTTCTAAGCCACTGAAACCCCCTGAATTAACCCCAAGTTAATTTCACCAACTCCATCATGTCATGTAGTAAGCACGGGACAAAATTTGGGAACATTCTTCTTAACCCAAAAAAGCTCCCTTTTATTGGGACAAAGAGGCAAAAATAAAATAAAATAATAAAATAAAGGTGAGGGGTTATTTTTCATTTCGCCCTATTGATATCTTAAAAGTATTTCTTTAATAATTTGGTGCTCCAGTAATCTTATTTCACTTTAATGTCTCAAATTATTATTTTTAACACTTTGATACCCATAAAATTCCAATCCCATTTCACTTAAATACATTTGTCCAAACTTCCATAGCTTTTGTCGTTAAATTTTTAATACATTTTTACCAAATGCTACGTTTAGATACATTTTACACGGATGCTAAGCACGTAAAAATATAATATAATACACACTGAGTATCAAAGCAAACTTAAATTGAAACTTTAACCTCTCATTTGCTACACGACAATGGGTAGGAATGAAATGCTCATTCTTACTTCTCATTCACGTTTATTAAATGCAATATTATTGTGGAAGCTAAAATGTCAAATCCCACTTTATTTCAGAATGAGCATCCCCAATGAGATAGTAGGGAATGAGCATCTCTACTTAAGTGGAAATTAATTTTTTTAATAAATTCCAAATATTGCTTAGTTGATCATTAATTATTGAATACCAAAAATAAAAGCATTGCCATTCCCACTTCATTATCAAATTAGACCTAAACATGAGAAATAGAATGAGAATCAGCGTTCCATTTCCAGCGTTATTCTCTTCCATTCCTCAATTCACGTCATTCACATTTGACTGGATCCTCATTCCTCACATGCCAAACGAGGATTAGGATATCAAATGCAAAAGGAATACCTTGGAGTATCAAGGTGAAATAGAATCAATTTTTTGGGTTTCACAAGTGTTAAATACTATTGTGAGTTTTCAAAGTGAACAAATGAGTTAACTTTGGGGTATCGAATGGTTCTCACTTCTCAATATTAATTTACATTCTTATTTTTTAAAGAGAATGGACCCTATAGGTTTTTATATAATTTATTTAATTAATATAATACATGGGCTTCTTAGAACGCGAGAAGTCGACCGATAAATTGTAGGCATCCTCGACCTCGAGAATGTAGGTTGTAAAGAATCCCCTGGCAGTCCAACCAAACGGGCCGAAATTGAAAATAAGCCAATTTAAAATAATATTTTCCTTACTCATAGTTCTACTAAATTCACTAGAAAATTAAAAAATGAAAGTTGAATGATCTTATGTTATATTTTTGTACGATGATCTAATGTTCTATATTTTAGCGCGAAAATAAGGACAAATTTTCAAAACCAACCTATTTGAGAAACTAATTGCAAAAAACGACCCGTTTGACATTTATTTAGAGAAACCGACCTGGTTTCAGCACTGTAGCTGAAACCAGGTCGGTTTTTCTAAAAAAGTTTACGAAACTTCACGGGAGTTCAACTCCCGTGAAGTTTTGTTATGAGAAAAAACTTCACGGGAGTTGAACTCCCGTGAAGTTTCGGAAACTTTTTTTCAAAAACCGACCTGGTTTCAGGCAGAAAAAGACGTAAAAAGTTACAGTGCTGAAACAGGCTCGGCTTTCTCTATAATAAATGTCAAACGGGTCGGTTTTTTTGAGAAAAAATCTCAAATGGGTTGGTGTTTGAAAATTTGTCCGCGAAAATACTTTATACTCCATCATTCTCCCCTTTTCTTCTCCGCCCTGCAAAGTAGCTTGTCATGCGTCAGCATTAGTACGCCTCAAGCAAATTAAAAAAAATCAAAAATCAAAAAGAAAAAAAAAGAAAAGAAAACCCTAAAACGGTGAGCCGCGGCCAAAAATTTCGCCTCTTATCGTCATGTCCTCCTCCTCTTCCGGTCACTATGGCTCCTCTCCCCCTCCGGCCACTCCCTCTCCCTGTCCGCTCGACTACCCTCCATCTCCTGCCATCGCTTTCCTTCCCCTTCCTACCTTGTCCTTCCCCAAATCCCACTTCGCCCATCAATCCCCTCCCCACCCAAACACGCCCGCCCGCACCCGCACCCAGCCTAGCCCACCCCCGCCCCTTCTTGACCCCACCACCGGCTCCGGCCCGCAATCCAAACCTAACCCGTCCTTTCCACGCTCGCGCACCGCCTCCCCTCCGGCGCCTCCCTCCACGTCCGCCCGATGGGCCCCCAAGAACTGGGCCCCACCATCACCCTCCTCGCCGAGTCCTTCGCCGAGTCCTCGTGGATGTCGTCGGGGTACGCCAAGCTTCTCGAGTTCTTGATAAAGCAGTACGTTGTCGAGAGGAGGAGTTTGGTCCCGCACGCCGTCATGCTCGTTGGGGTTTACAAGGAGGGGGAGGGTGAAGGGGAGCTGGCTTGTACGGCCGAGGTTTCGTTCGATGCGAGGGGAGCGAACAAGGATCCCCCGACGCCGGCGGCGCCGAGGAACTGTCCTTATGTTTGCAACATGACCGTGAAGAAGAAGTTGAGGAGGTAACGGGTTTTGCTAACTTTGTGTCTTTTGTTTTGGTTAGGAAATGTTGCGTGTTTGTTTTGATCTTACCCATGAAAATTGGGTGGTCAATGGGAAAAATCTACATAGGATTTTACTAGATTTCGCAGACATGGTTTTATTGAAATGTTTAAGGTTGTGTGTAGGCGATAAGAAATGTAATATGATTAAAAACAAATCACGGTGATATCGCTGTCCGAGGATATCAAAATGCGAATGGGAATAGAAATGGTGGTATTTCAGGGGTAAAGGACAGGACAATGTGAAAATGATGACAAGTTTTATCATTGCCAATTGAAGATCTTTGTGCTTATACATAGAGTTGTGGAGAATGTTTGAAGAAAGAATGTAGAAATAAGATTATCGAAGTAACATCTCACAACTGTCCCCTAAATTCTCTAGGAGTGAGATGCTATGATCTTTACACTGTGACAGATGATGACTGATATCGATATATCCACAAATTTCAATATGTGAAGCCGGATGTCCTGAAATTAGTAAGGCAACCGCAAACCAGTTCCAGGTGCTGCTTCTTTGAAATGTCCTTTCATTCAGATACATTTTAAGGTTCTATTTGAAGAGGGTTTATATTGTTTACATACTGTCTCAGTTTGACGACAAAGACTGTCACTTCAGAATCCTGTCTCGATTTAACTAACCGCCATGAGTTGGTAAAGGGGGTGAAACATCATATATGATTGGGACCTTGAGCAGAATAAATACTTGATAATACTTGATACATTGTGTTGTAAGAATCAATATATTGTGTGGAGTAATTCTAGGACTAGGGATATCTTACTGACGAGAAAAGGGATCATTGTGCTTGTGCTAATTGCTACAAAAGAAAGGTATGAGAAGAAGGAGAAATGGTCTACCTCTGACATTCCTATCCTCCCTTTTGAATTCTCATGCCCTTTACAAAACCTCCTACCTTGCCTTTCCTCTGGCACCATCTTCTCTTTCCACCGCCTATCCATTCCTCTCATTTTCCTTCACTCTAGAAGTTAGGCCACCCTTATTCAGTATATTACATCATCCCTCCTCTGCCCTCCTCCTTCTCCCCTTCAAATCCTTGAAAGAACTAAGGCCACGTTCGTACAAGGGAATGAGGTGGAATGAAATGTCAATTCTCACTTCCCATTCAAGTGTACCAACTACCAAATACAACATGTTTTTAAAGTTTGAATCGCCATTCCCTAGGAATGCTCCTTCCCACATCTTGTGGTTAATAAGCATTCCCTTTGAGTTGTTAAGGAATGAGCATTCCCATTTAAGTGAGGAGAAAAAAAGCCTGATTCCCGTAATGACACCGAAAAATGAGAATGGGAATGAGCATTCCATTTTATTCATTGCTTCAGTCCATTCTCACCTGACTTGATTCTTCTCTCTTTTCTTGGGGGTTTTTGAGGTTCCTTTCAGTTGCAGGATTTCAGTGATTAAAAGCAGAAAAATAACAAAAAATTGTTGGTCTCCTTGAAGATATGGTAATTTGTCTTGGAATGTCTTAAGTCAAAGGCAAGGCAGACTGAATTTGAGCATGAAATTTTCGCTACAAAATGATGACAAGGATAAAGAGAGCGAAACTTATATGCTTAAAAGTATTAAAAAAAATGAAGAGGAATAGAAGAACTGATATTTTTTTGAACTTGAGGAAGAAGGTTCCTATTGACCTTGAAGATTTACTTGGTTCAAACTGGCACTGGAACTTGCTGAAATTTTGAGGTCAACTAATACTTATCAACTAATGGTTAAGACTACCAAATGGAAAATGATGAAAAAAGTTTTTCCGTCTTCATTCTTATTAATAGTGGAAGAATGTTTATTGTAGCTGAAGCCGCATGTTATTGTCAGATCCCTCCCTAGTCATTTGAAGTGCAATGGAGGCTTGATAGGGACTAAAACTGGCAGTTGATTTAGATGCATTGTAGGGATACGCCCTCTTCTAGTTGGGTCTCGAAGATATTGGCAGAATCTATTGTGGATATCCAAAGATGGCAAAACCTTGATACGGATAAGCTAAACTTAATGTCAAACTTTGACCCTAATTCTAATCTTTATATTCTGAAAGCTGGTTTGGATGGTAGTGCAAATGAAATTCCGAGATATGCCGATGTAGTCGAGATTTTATTAGCTTATCTAATATCACCTTCCTAGTAAAAATTGCACTGTTTCATTCTTTGCTGAAATTGGTTGAGTTCATTCAAGTCTTCATTTCTAGTTTTTAGCCACACCTTAAAATAAAAAATTTCCAAATGCACACATTTCGCATTATTGTCCATGAATTCCTTCAAGTGTCTGTGTACAAATTATAAGCTTGATAGTCCTTGTTTATTGCCAAAAGATGATTTGACATACAAGCGAAATTTTTGAGATGTGCCAGTCTATTTAAACTCTACGTTTCCTATGTTCAGCAGTTTTATGTTATCAAAACTTTTCCTAGTGCACACATTTCCTATGATGTTGTAAAATATTATATGACTTGACATTCTTCATATATTCAGGAAAGGGATTGGTCGACAGCTCCTTAGGGCATGTGAGGAGCTGATTTCTCAGATGAAGACAATAAGGAAAGTATACCTCCATTGCCGACTAATTGACACAGGTCCTTTCGAAATGTATACAAAAGCTGGTTACAGTATTGTTCAGACCGATAGTATGTTAATCTTGCTCTCCTTTCAGCGACGAAAGCACTTGATGTGTAAAGAGCTCCCACCTTTGGTTGATTCTCAGTTTGATACTTCTGATGACGAGGCGGCTCCTTCTGATAGAGATCAATAACCAAAGAATGTTTAACCTTCAAAGTACTGATTACTTCACCTGGTGCTGTTGTATCATAACTAGATAAGTTATTTTATTGTGATACAGTTCTCTGTAGTGAAAAAATGATGATTGGCTACAGTCAAGTTTTAAATGTCGGATGTCGGAAATTCATGTCGGCTAGCGAAAATCGGGGATATATCGGGGGATATGGACTAAATATCGGATTGTCATATCGGGTGGTGCGCATATGTATAATATCATGTCCTAAATATAATCTAAGTATTCCTAAATTCAATATAAGCATACTTTATAAATTCTAGAGGCGGTGCTGGCGATGAGTGAATTTCGACGTCGCAAGGAGGCAGTGCCGCCTTGCCGGGGCTCTTCTTCTTCGTTTGCTCGGGGTCCTTCGGATGAGTCAACGACCACCCTCTTCCCTTTATCCCGACGACGGGATATCATGTCGTTCTCGGGTTCGGTTGAGGTTCGGACTTCGGGGCACAACAAGATATGGACGACGGGGGTCCGAGATGGATGTGAGGGAAAGGCATCGTCGTTCACGAAAGGAGTGATCGGTTTCTAAGTCCGTTGTAGTCCTAATTTTGCTCTTTTCTTTCTATCGGGTTCATTAGAAACCCTTAAACATGAGAACAGATCAAAGGGGTTTTGGGTTTTTTATCACTAAACCCAAACTCGATAACAAAAAATAGATCTAAAAAAAGGGTCATATCGGCCGATGATGTTTTCGATTTGGCCCTGAAAACCGACATACGAGTTGAAAATGCCCATGTTGTGTCGCTCAAGCCCTCAAACTGACATGTCGGACACGTCGGT